CACACACACACACACACACACAGAGTCATATATATATATATATACACACACACACACACACACATTTTAGTTGCAAAAGTGTGTACAATAAATAATAAAAGCAAATACAAATCAGAATATACAGTATATATAGTTGCATTTATTTCTACATATCTTCCTCTTTGGATTTAAAGAAAAAAAGGGGGGGTGAGGATGAGAAAATACAGTCAAGCAGGTAGTCCTTATTTAGTGTAAATTGGGACTACCTACTTGGTCATTCAGCAAGGCAGCTGCTAAGTGAAACCATAATTGTGCTCATAATCTTTAGCTTTCTTTTGCTTTACAGACCCATGAGTCATTAATGTGAGGATTGGTCAAAAAGTTATTTTTTCAACAGTCATAAATGCAGACATTCGACATACTTGCAAATGAGGAATACCTGTAAAAGCTTTTGTTTAAACTTGTTCAATCACTAGCAATAGTAATAGCACTTAAGATTTATATACCACTTCACAAGCTTTACAGCCCTCTCTAAACAGTTTACAGAGTCAGCATATTGATTCCAACAATCTGGATCCTCATTTTGCCAACCTTGGAAGGATGGAAGGCTGAATCAACCTTGAGCCGGTCAGGATCGAACTCCTGGAGTAAACAATGAGTTAGCCCCGCAGTACTGCATTCTAACCACTGTGCCACCACGGCTCTTGGCTATATATTCTTAGTGATTTTAAATTTGTTCATCACCTCATAGCATTTCTAGAAGACATTTTTCTAATAAATAAAAATACTGTAGAAAACTTATTTTAAAACATTTTTTCTGGAAGTTCTGAGAAGAGTCTGGATAAGGAAGAGGGTTCCAGCCAATCAGATGAGGTCTTTGGGCACCTGGAACAAGGACCTGGTTGTCAACTATCATTAAGAATCCAACAAAATGGATTAGAGCTTCTTTAAGTGAGAATAATCTCTTCTGGATTTCCTCTGAAGTTGATTTAATTAAAGAAGAAGCATCTCCTGCACATTTATTTTTTAAAGGATACATGTAACAGGCAGCATATAGAATAGAATAACAGAGTTGGAAGGGACTTTGGAGGTCTTCTAGTCCAACCCCCTGCCTAAGCAAGAAACCCTACACCACTTCAGACAATGGTTATCCAACATCTTTTTTAAAACTTCAAGTGTTAGAGCATTCCCAACTTCTGGAGGCAAATTGTTCCACTGATTGTTCTAACTGTCAGACTTTTCTCCTTGGTTTTAGGTTGCTTCTTTCCTTGATTAGTTTCCATCCATTCTTTCTTGTCCTGCCCTCAGGTGCTTTGGAGAATAGCTAGACTCCCTCTTCTTTGTGGCAGCCCCTGAGATATTTGAATACTGCTATCATGTCTCCCCAGTCCTTCTTTTCATTAGACTAGACATATCCAGTTCCTGCAACCATCCAGTCCCCTAATCTTCTTTGTTGCTCTTCTCTGCACTCTTTCTAGAGTCTTAACATATTCTTACATCATGGCAACCAAAACTGAATGCAGTATTCCAAGTGTGGCCTTACCAAGGCATTATAAAGTGATATTAACACTTCACATGATCTTGATTCTAGCCCTCTGTTTATGCAGCCTAAAACTGTGTTGGCTTTTTTGGCAGCTACTGCATACTGCTGGCTCATATTTAAATGGTTGTCCACTAGGACTCCGAAATCCTACTACAGTTACTACTATTGAGCAAGGTACCACATATACTGTACCTGTGCATTTGATTTTTCTTGCCTAAATGTAGAATCTTACTTTTCTCAACATTGAATTTCATTTTGTTAGATAGCTCCCAATGTTCAAGTCTGTCAATGTGTATTAGTTTGCTATGGATCTCAAGGACAAAAAGGGTCTTTGGGCAGAAATATGAAATTTAGTACCAAAGGATTGTAGGCTTCCTTCTAAGATACTGATCGAATTTGCATGGTATACCTGAGCTACAAACTAGGCACATACAAATATATAGTAAGTTTCAAGCTCTATACTAAGCAAAGGAAAATGTCCCAAAATACTCTCTGAAGTGTTAGGTTCTCCAGAACTCATAATCAGGCTGGTTATTAAAGGAAGCAGAAGGTTGAAGAAAGCTGAACAATATTGCATCCATTGTGTCTGCATTTATTCATAGCCTTAAAATAGAAATGTGGGAGAAGGTAAACATTCAAATTACGGTAGGTACTTTGACTAGCATGGGTCATTTATCATTGTTTGCACTTTCCTTCATTTCAAAGTCCTGTGTGCAATTGGAAGACAAGAAATTCTATCTATAACGTCCCCCTCATATCCCATTCTTAAGATTATAAACAAATGCAGACAACACAGTTTTCATATTTGCTAGATATTCCTTCCCCATTCCCCCTTTTTCATATAGTTCTGGTGAAGAATAAAATATTCCTGGTTGCCCAAATCGTGAAATCATTTTCATATTTTAGACTTATTTGGTTAGCTGCTAAGATGGATACATAGATCTATCAGGATACCTTTCTTTTGATATGTGTTTTAGTAAGATGCATTTGTTCAATCTTCTAAGATTTACTCCTGTTTTTTTGGAAATAATAATTACAACAATGTTAAAATTAGATGGTCAAGTTCCTAACTTTCTCTACAGTACTTTTTAAGGATACACCTCTCTGTCCTATTAGTATTTTTTCTCTGTTCAATCATTGTCTGATTCTCCAACAAGTCCTGCAGTTTTCTTGGCACAGGAAAGCTAATTTGAAGAGTCATTAACCACAGATCCACTGAATGCATTTTTGCAGCCTATTTGTTTCAGAGAAGTTCTGTTATTAGATGGGTCTACCCTACTCCAAGTACCTTGGATGTGGCAGAAAGGGGAAAAGGAAAACCTTTACCCTTATTAGTTCCTTTATTAGAAGGCCTCGCATTTTTTTCCTTTTCTGAATAACCTTGCCTCAAGCTGCCTTTTAGATCAAGCATTAGCAGAAACTTCAGCCTAGATTGATTTCACAGCAGCTGACTTTGCAAACCAAGGGCCAGAATGGATAGTCCTTGACTTATAGCCACAATTGAACCCAAACTTTGGCATTAAGTGAGGCATTTAAGTGAGATTTGTCCCCATTTTGCGACCTTTCTTGCCATGGTTGTTAAGTGAATCACTGCACTTGATACTTAGTAACCTGATTGTTAAGTGAATCTGGCTTTCCCATTGACTTTGCTTGTCAGAAGGTTGCACACAACCCCGGGATGCTTCCATAGTCATAAATATGGAGCAGTTGCCAAGCATCTGAATTTTGATCATGTGCCTATGGGGATGCTGCTGCAAACTGTGAAACAGGTCACAAGTTCACTTTGAACGGTCGTTAAATGAAGTCTGGGACAACCTGCACAACTGGCGAAGCAGCGAAACGCCACTGCAGTCCGTTGCGCATCAAGGCGCATTTCAGAACGCAGAGGGAAAGGAAAAGAGGGAAGGAAGGAAAAGAGGAAGGCGACTGGGAAGTGATGAGAAAAGAGGAAAGCAAACCCCGTTTCCCCTTCCCGCCCACCATTTCTCCCACTTACAGCTTTCCTAGGCACCTCCTTTAGATCGTCTCTTTGGTCAGCCGCCTGGATCCCTTCCAATAGGTTCCACGCCCCCAACTCGCGCGGATGCCCCCACTCGGGAGGGAGGACGCCGCTCGCTCTTCTGCTGCCCGGGAAGGAGACCGACCGGCTGCCTCTTCAATCGCTCGCAGTCGCCAGCCAGAGGAAGAAGCGTGGCCGCAGGCATATGGCTAGAAAGCTGCCGCTTGGAGCGCCCGGCTGGCGATGTTTGCAAACAGCTCCGGCTCTTGGCAAGGAGTTGCCTCCTGCTCCTTGCTCTTCGCAAAAGAGCCCCGTCTGCCCTCTTTTCCCAAGGGGTGGGTGGGAGGGAAGGGCAGTGAGAGGGAAGCTGGGGCAGCGCCAGCCGGGGCTTTACTTTCCGCCTTCAGGCTCCTCCTTCCTCTTTTTCCCCTTAGAAAATGCAATATTCTTTGAATTGAAATCCCCGGAGTAAATTCAGCGGCGTGTGTATGTGTGGAGGACGAGGGGGGGGGAGTGTTTTAAGCATTTCGGAGAGCTGCAAGGGAGGTAACTCTGCGAGCTTGCCACCAACGCCGTTGATACGGAGAAGGGAGTTGAGGGTCTACATTTCAGCCCCCGGACGGATTTGTTGCGGGTCAGACCGCTGAAGGCTGCAAGCAAAAGGAAGCGCAACCCACCTTTCTTTAAAAAAAAAAGAGGGAGCCGCAAGGACTTCGATTTTTCCCTGCCTTACCGTCCCCCTCACCTGGCGGCGCGTCCCGGCTCTCAAGCGTTCCTTGCTATTTCCTTCTTCGCAACTGGGTGGGAGAAAAAGGAGGAGGAGGAGGAGGAAGGCGGCGTCCTTTTCGGCAGCAGATATTCCCATCTTTATGCCGGCAACGGTGTCGTTCAGTGGTGCTCCGCGCGTCGGTTCCCACCCAAAAGGGGAGCCGGGCTGAGGGGACGGTGCGGTGGGAGGGGGGGAGCGCTACTCTCTCGTTTCCACGTGCTGGTTACTCCTGGCCGGTCTCCCGCCGTCGCAGCGGTCCTGCAGCTGCCGTCACACACCCCGGTTTCCCGGCGGGGAAGGGATTTATGGCGTGTCGGAGACCGGGTTGGAGCGAAATGCTGTGGCTGGTCTGACCATCCAGCTAGTAGCGGCCAAGAGGACGCCGCGGTGACAGCAACAAACCCCAGCGGCTTATATCAGTCGGCTACGCACCAACTCTTCTCTCTCTCTCTCTCTCCCTCCCCACCGCCCTCCCCGAGCCCGGGAAGCGGCGCGACATCCGGCACGGAGCGGACACTTTGAAAACTCTGCGCCGGTCCTTGCGCGTTGTCGACGTGCGGAATTCAGGGGCTGTTGCGGTTTAAACGAGACCAGTAACCGAATCGGCGGGGGGGGCAAAGCGCCTGCGTGAGCACGAGAGGGGAGAAAAAGAAAGAAACAAGAAAGGAAGCGGGAGGAGTCAACGCGAGAGGCGGTTGAGGTGAGGGAACTGGTTGCGGAGCTGGCCGGGTGAGACTTTTTCCCTGGGCTCGCCAAAGGCTGGCGGGAAAGAAACCTGCGCGCCAGAGTCGCGGGACGTTCTCGGCGAAGGAAACAACACGCCCGGCCGGCTGGGTCAAAAGCAGTCAAGAGGGCGCCGCTGGCAATGGCGGCTCGAAATAGGAACAGCTCGGTCGGTTGTCCTTAGCCGAGAAGCGGACTTCCAACTGTGTGTGTTTGTGTGTCTTGTGGGGGGGACAGCCGGACTGACGCTGGGGTCGCCGACTTTCCACACCGGCGCTCGAGCTGAGTCCCCGGGCGTTGCTCTGCTGCCTGCCTCCCTTCCTTCCTCCCTTCCCCGGAACTGTGGCCAAGACCGCCTGGGACCGCTGAAGGTGCGTGGCAGATAGCAGGGCTGGCCGGGCCATGGAGGCGCCGGCGGAGAACCCGAGCAAGGCAGCGGAGTATCTCAAGGAACTCAACAAGATCATTGAGACGCAGCAGGAGCTGCTGGAGAAGCAAAAGCTCCGGATAGACGAGCTCGAGCAGCAAGTGGCCAAGCTGTACCACGAGAACGCCCGGCTCCAGGAGGAGCACCGGCGGCACCTGGCCACTTGCAGGCTGCTGCTTCAGCAGCAGGCTGCCCTGTCCGCACCGCCGGGGAAGGGGCAAGAAATCGCCCAGCGTGAAAAGTAAGGAACGGGGAACGGGGAGCGTCTTAAAAGACGTGTGGAGGGGGGCACACGTAACGCTTTAAAGCAGTCCAGGTGACCACCAAGCGTTAGCCACGAGGTTGGTAGCCGATGCTTTCCCCTTGTCTTGGGGGTCTTGGATGGGTAGTCGTGAGGTTATGGATGATCTCAGACAAAGTCGCATTTTCTCCTTCACCCTCTCCATTCCCCGCTGGTTTCTTTCGCGCTTTGATTGATGCTCTTCCTAGTTTTCCCTCTGCTCTTGTGGGCCAGTATGCGAAGGCGAAGTAAAAAAAAACAGAGAGCTGAGATGTTATGTGGCAACCTTCCTCGGCTGGCTGGCGAAGTTGTCTCTCCTTCGAGGAATTTATTCCTAATTTCTTGCCCCATCCCAAAAGGGCTGGTTTCTGGGAGAGGGTTTTTTGAACCCCGCGGTTTTTTGCCTGTGGACAGAAAGAACTGTGCCTACGGCTAAGGGATCCAGACCGCTTCAAAGAAGAGACGTTGGGGAAAGGGTGTGAAGGATGCTGTTTGGTGCCTTCCAGTCCTGGAGAAAGACTTGGTCTTCTAGTGCAAGGCAGTGTGATGAGTGGCATTTGCAGACTTTGGAGGTGGAGTTAGTTTCTAACGAATGAGAGTGAGTAAACATTGGCAGGTGGCTACCCTTCTGAACTGTGACTCCTTCACATCTAAACTTGTTGATCGTCAGGAACCAGTTTGCTCTCAATCCTTGGTCTATTTTCAGAAGGCTTTAAGCTTCCATAATGCAATGCTTGCTGCAGATGGAAAGGTGTTTAGCTATATTACTGCTTACCATAAGGCTATGTCAAGAGCAGAACAATGTCTGATTTTTTTTTACAAATGATTGAAATTACAATTAGTACAATCTACAATCCTTAAGTAGATACGGAAAAACTATTAATCAGAATTCGTGGCACAAAATGCTCAGGTACTTTGTTTCTTGGATTTTGTTACATTGTCTGTCTGTCTGTTCCCCCCCCCCTCCATAAATGTAAATGTTTCTTGAGATGAGCAGTGTGTCTTCTTAAACTTAATAATTTTGATGTAGTTAAGAAAAACAATATTCCTCTTTTGGGACTGTTCAGCTAATGAGTTTAATTAAATTGTTCAAAAAGTGTTCATTTATAGATGTATAATTAGTTGCATTAAAGTTTTTTCAGCTGGGTTAAAAGAGGTATTCCTTTCCATCGGAAAAGGGAAATGACTCTTAAAATGATGCATGCTATTACTAGTCCGCATCATTTAAAAAACAAACTTTTTGCTTAGATTGTGTACTTAAGACAGATGTACTAAAATGTATTCAAATAGCAGTATTGTCTTACAATGCAAACTGCTGATCTTGATCAACATTAGAAACTACCTTATTTCTGCTGCATGTGCGTTTTAAAACTGAGTTTCTGTCTATATTGCAACATTTGCATCTTTATTGCAGTTTTGCAATGGCAAATTCATATAGATAATATTTACAAAGTGTGAACTTGGAAAAATATAATCAACTGCTTATATGTAGAGGTTATTTCTGTCTAGCAAAATATGTTATAATGGATTAGGAGCTATATTTCTGTACTTGTTAATGTAAGTTACTCAGTGTGAAGTCCCAGGAAGTGGGCTTAAATGTTTGTTACCTGTCTACTATAAAGATATGTATAAGTGAGGTATATGTTTTTGTTTGTTTCCTGTTTACCAAACACTGTATTGCTGGCCTCTTGTGATTTTTCTCCTTGTTGTAGGCAACACTGTTTATTTTAGTAAGACATGTAACATTTTTTACTTTCTAGAAATATTCAATTGATCTAAATCATACTGAGGCTAAATCTTGTTTAGTAACAAATCACTATATAAACTGAAGAAATAAATGATTGAACCTGTAAGAAGAGTGGGAAACAGTTCCTTTAATCTATAATGTAGTTTAGAGTAATGTATGCTGCTTTCAGGAAGGAAAAGAAAATTTAATTCTATGTATGTTTGTTTTGTGTAATAAGCCAGAGAATGAATTATATAGATATGTGTTCTGTCATGTTTTGGACATTTTCTTATCAATATGCCTTCACCAATTCTTATCGATTGGTATTCTTACCAATACCAGACACAATATGTATTATTTTTCATGTTTTCATTAATTTGTTTCTTCTGATTTTCCAAGAAAGCAGTTTTTCCTTGGAAGAAAGCAATGAGTTACAGCTTTGAGAACCACAATATTCTTAAAGTCTCTTTAAGTGGATTTGATGTTGGGATCAGTCTTAATCTGGAGTATTTATGGAGTGCTTATAGTCTTTCAGAGGTATAGTCAGAACAGCTCAGGGCAAACATTTAAAGTTACCAAGGCTTCTATTATCATAAGAGATGTTCAGCCAAAAAAACTATTTCATGTGATATGAATATTGACTGTATACTGTTGGTTTAACCAGAAAAATGCTGGCTCCTTTTGGGGACTTTGTAATTAGAACCTTCAGAACTAGAGGGTGTGCTCCATTCTCTTCTTTGACTCTGTTAAGGCAACCTGCAAAAATCCATGCAGTTTTTTTTACTGATATGCAGTGCAATGTTAATAGGATATCTGAAAAAAGTATAACCATATCCTTCCCAAAACCATAATTTTAAATTATGTATCTTACTACATAAAGTAAAGGGGGTCAAACACTAATAGATATTACAGTATAGATCAGGAATGTCCAACCTTGACAACCTTAAGGCTTTTGGACTTCAATTCCCAGAATTCCCCAACCATCAATAGACCTTGACATTACCATGGATAGTGTTGGAACAGGGATGAAAGAACACCCCATCAACGTACAAGTTAAGAATTTTTTAAGCCTAACTCAGTCATGGGCTAGGGATATGATGAAAACAGTATTATGGGCCACAGCAGGAAAAAAAAAACAGTGCTATGCCATCATAAGCTACAAATGATGGATTGTATTCTTTCTGACATTTTTGGGCCGTTTGTCTCAAGCTGATCATTCCTTTGTGATTGAAAGTTCTTTTGGATCAGATATAATCAGAGTTATGTGGAATTGTCAAATTCTATTATTTTGTAAGTTCTGTGCTTGTAATATTCCATTTCTACTGTACTTCAGTATTATCAGAATTGCTGATCTTGGAACTGGCATACCTGTATATGTAGTTTGTTCATGTAATATGTTTTCCTGTTGAAATGATTACTTTTTAAAATGTTTACTTAATTGTTTAAATAATTTGTATGGCTGTCCATATAGCATCCATGATTCTGAGTGGCTAATACGTAATGCTTTTTTAATAAGGGGAGTAGGGAGTACCTTTGAGTTAATCCTGACTTCTGGCGACTGCCTGGACAAGTCCTTGCAGTTTTCTTGGCAAGATTTTGGAAGTGGTTTGCTCTTGCCTCCATCCTAGGGCTGAAAAAGAGTGACTGTCTCAAGGTCACCCAGCTGGCTTCATGCCTAAAGCAGGCCTGGAACTCGTGATATCCCAGTTTCTTGCCTGATGCCTTAACCACTACTCCAAACTGGCTCTTCTAAGAATAAAATAACATTAATTAAAACCATAATAATCACACTCCACCAGTTAATTATAACTATTACACAATAATGTAGTCCTCAGAAAATATACATTTTTTTACCTAACTAGTCTCATTTAATGTTGTTTTAAAAACTTTTTGTAACATCAACTGGGTGGGGCCCATTTGAATCTCAGGAAATCTCTGAGTTTGCCTCTTGAATCCCATTAGATTTATTTTTTGGTTTTATAAGGCCACCCAACTCAAATAATGCCAAACAATGTACAACAACAACAGCAAAGCAACCTGGTGAAGAACCATGTAATGTGAAAATGTACGCAATGTATAAATATGAACATGAAATACACACTATAGAATGACTACCAGTCATAATACAAGCATTCAAAGGAGTGCCTCCATATGCCTGGGGAAAAAGCCAGATGTTAAAAGAAAAGTTTGGACTTGTATATTGGGGGGGATATTCGTTTCAGAGAACAGCCATCAAAAAGCAGTGCTTCAAAAAAAAAAAAAAGGAGCCAGCAATATGTCCATGCTGTCAAATATGGAGGGGTAAGCAGAAATCAGTATATATAGATAGTTCTGCAAATAGTTTGCCTCTGTGCCATATAGGAACAACCTGCAACTTGAATTGCATCTGGAAAACCACTGAGAGTCAGTGCAAGCTCACAGAGCCATTACATGAGGCTTCGCGCCACTGAATTCTGGACCAGTTGCAACTTCTGAATGCTCTTCATAGGCAGCCCCTTTGCAGTAGTCCAACCAACCAGGAGGTGACAAAAGCATGGGTAGCCATGAACACTCTCAATCTAGGTATATGTTCTCAGGTGGAGGGAGGGGGGACTTGATAGTATCTCTTGAACACTCTTTTTATCAAGTAGGTTATGTAAATGAGCCTCTGCATATGATGAAACATATAAATATATTCTAATATTTTGTGGTCATATAACTATTTCCAGCTTACTGTACTTTCGTTGCCATTTTGCAAAATATGGAAGGAATTTTATAGCTTATAGAGTAGATTGAAGACTAATAAATAATAAAATCTTAGGCAAGAGTAAGAGGGACTGTCATGTGTAAATGTTGGAACTAACATACTAATCCTGAAATTACAATTTTAAATATAGTGAGTTGGTTATTGCAGGACAAGTTGTTTAGATGAAAACGTCTTGTTCAGTTAGGAAAACAAGGTAGTTTGGAATGGCTGCTGTCAGGAATAGTACAATTTGATTTATAGTCCTGTTCTTTAAAATAGGTTCTACTTAATCCATATATCTGCACTGAATTCTGAAACTAGAAATTGTCATGCAAAAAAAAACTAATCCAAAAACAAAAACTATCATGTGTATTAGATGCACTTAACTGCACCTTAAATAGTAGTGGACAATATATAGCTTTTCCAATCTGTTAAATTGCAGCTCCAGTCACTCTTATTGTTGGTCATGCTGATTAAGATTGATAGGATTTTTTACTCCTGAACTAAAAA